AAAAAAGAACGAAAAAGAAATATTATTTTATCGATTTTATGATGAAATAGATTGTTGAACGTTTATGTTAATCTACATTTTCTATGTAGGTGAACATTTCTTAATCGAGTAAGTATAAAATAAGTGATATGTTTTCTATGCTTCATTTAATTTTATTATAATAACGGAAGAAAACGTTTGACACAATGCAAAGATTGCAATGTTTTAAAAAGCATCGAATAACATAAGATTTAAAAACACACGATACTGTTTTAAAAATAAAAATATTTATTCTAGAAAAATAAATAAATCGGAAAAAGAAACCAAGTGAAACAAAGAAATAAAATTTCGGAATTTATTGGACGGACAAAAAATACATCTATAATGAGCAAGGGTTGTTTTTTGTTTAAAACGAAGTACTACACTTGGATCAATGATGACATTGACAATTGAGTTTTGTGCACACTCTCTGTGGCTATCCTAAATCATACTCAAAAGGAAAATAATTATAGACTTTTGTTTTGTTCTTCGGTTTTGGATGACAACTGTCGTATAATATTGTGCAGCATAACTGGGAATATTGTTTATTATGCTTAGATCGAACATTCAAAGTAGATTTTAGAGAATGAAATTCATTTTCGATTGAAAGTTCGTTCATAGAGGGTTGAATTCCACATTAAATGAGGACAATAGAGAACTGGGTACATTATTAGCATTATCAAAAAGAGAACTTGCTAATTTTTGTAGACTAAAGTTACTTATTCTGTTTAATTCACATACCTTTCAATATAGACAAATTCATGCAAATAATTACAAAAAAAAACGGGAAAAAACTTAAAAGAAAAAGAAATTCTTTAGTAAATAACGCCAACATTACTTAAAAAAGTAAACAAACACGCACACACATACACACGCACGCACGCATAACGAATACTAAAGATTGTTTAATTCAATGGCACAAAAAATAAAATTGATCAAATGTTTTTAACAAGGTTAAGTACAAAATAAAAACAAACAAATAGATGAACAGAGAAGAAGTTACAAAACATTGTAAAATAAGAAACAAAATATCGTCATTGAAATGACAATAGTATTAACAATGATAAAATTGAGATGAATTTTTATATTTCATGAGAGATTTTTAGTTTTAACTGGTGTGGTTGTTGAACAAAATCAGTTGAAACGAGTGAAGACGAATTTGTTAACGATAATCTAAAATAGAAAACGATATTATAAACAATATAGTAGAATCATTTTACCCAAAATAAATAGCGATTTCAGCCTTTTCTAATTTCTACTTAATCTTCAAACTTCATTCAATAAATTATACTGTTCGGAAATATTGGAGAAGGTAGTGATAGTTAATTTATAAGCAAAACACTATATAATTGTGAAAAAGTTATACACTCCTGTTAAATGATGAGTATTGAATTACGAAATATAAAGGAAATATGTGTATGTGTGTATAAGGGATAGCTCCATTCTTACTTGATATCATATACAAGTTACAGAAGAACTATTTGAGAAACACAGAACTAATTTGAACAGTCAGGTTAGTTTTTCGAAAACAAAACAAAATACTTACTTTTGAAATCTTCCTGATGGTGGTCGGTGTTCACCATTTTGTCGTGTTGGTGGATTCATGGGCGGTCGAGGAGCAAAACGATTTAGAGCAGAATAAATTTCATTACGTTGTAATGTCTTTTGAAATGCTTTTGCCTACAAAAATAGAAAATTTTAGCTTAAATAATACACATATCAAAACAAACAGATTCATTTAATATACTTGTTGTGCTAATTGTTGATTTTTTGCTTTTGATTCTTCTAGCATTTGCCTTGACTTTTCTAAGATTTCTTGTTGTTTTGTTAGTTTATCCTTCGTACCATCTACATTGGACTCTCTAAATACTTCAGTATTATTTTCACAATCAAATGTAGATGAAGAACCGATGAGTGTCTCTGGATGAATATGTTTTGAAGTGGGAATTGTTGTAGACTGTGTATTACTTTGATCACTCAACGGTAATGTGGCTGT